GGAAGTACAATGGAGCCTATGGGTATCCTCAACCGGATATGCTTGCGGCCCGTGGGAGCTGCGGGCTTCATTGCCCCAACTGTCGCCAGGGGGCTGCCACGAGTTCGGAACTGCCCGTGAGACCAACTACCCTCGAAGTGAACATGGGGGGGGGGGGGTCCGAAAATATGGGACCTTAAAATACGGTATGCCTAATTTTCGGATACTCCCACATGAGAGTTGACCCAAAGCCCTGTTGGATTTACGAGAAAGTCCAACCTCGAGTTCAGAAGCTGGTTTGGCACGTAAAACGATAAAGGATGATAGAAGTATGTACTATCGATGGTGTTGGTTTTCCTACAGAACAGCAATAAAGTGAAGGACATGCCATGGCAAGAATAGTATGGGTCAATAAAAGATGTTTTTCACATGTCTCACGCACTTCCCCCCACACACACACACTGTCTTACATGCCTTCATGACTTTCTATTGGTGACTCTCTCCCCACGACTTCCCAGAACCGTCACCCCGAACCTTCAATCCTTCCTTGCATGTGCTTCTTCACTACTACCAGCTACTTCTTTCTGCCACTTCTACAAGTGATCTAGTGTTCCTCTCCCGCTTCACTTCCTCCCCTACTACCATATGAACACTCGTTTTGATAAGAGTTCCTGCTCCCTAAGCCTTAGCAGCGCAAACACCCCTGACACAAGGATCCCAAATCGTGAAGATAGCAACCCTAATGTTTGGGCCGGAATAAATGTCATCATTGTTCCTTTGCCTTCCGGATTCTAAGTATACTCGAAAAGCTCCGACCGGTGAGAAATGTCATCATTGTTCCCTAGCGTTCCGAATTACAAGTATACCCTTAATGTCATGGCTGATCTTATACCCTGAATGTCATCGCTGATTCTAACAATACTCTAAAAGCTCCGACCGGTAATAAATGTCATCATTGGTCCTTAGCGTTCCGGATTATAAGTATACTCTAAAAGCTCCGACCTGCATCAGGTCTTTCAACTCAGGGTCCTGCCGCTCGACTCGAATAGCTGTGATGCACAGAACGTATCGCTCAGGTTTCGGGTTCTTAGCCTCAAGGGTTTAGGGGTTTAAAGGGTTTAAAGGGTGTAAAGGGTTTAAGCGGTTTAAAACGGTTTTAAGGGTTTAAAAAGTGTTTAAGAGTCTAAAAGGGTTTAAAGAGTTTAAAAGGGTTAAGGGTCAGGGGCTCAGGGTTCGGGGTGAAGGTAGGCGCTTGGCTCAAGAGGAGGCTACAGATTTTGTTTTGTTTGTGTGTGGGGATGGCTTAATGTTGAGGGTTTGGAAAGCACCGCGGCACAAGTCGCAGGGTTTGGGGCTCAGAACCGCCATGCCTACGTACTGGGACCCTTGATAGGAGTAATGTGGGGGCCTTAATAATCAGAATAGGGTTTGGGGGCATATTCTAGTATATCTATAATAAGGAACACCCATCATTTAGGCCCCCAGAGTGCGACAGTTGTGACAGCGTGCCTGTGGTGATATGACATCCCTTCATACCAGCATCTGCCTGTAATTGGCGTCTGCCGTACCTCATGAGGCTTACGACTGTTAGATAACTTGTTGCGTTTCGTGTGCCATGTTCGGCGCTACTAGACTCGTCGCTGTTGGAACTCTTTTGAAGTATAAAGGTAACACACCCTCAATTAAACTAACGTAATTTCCAAGTCTAAACCCTAAACCCTAAACCCTAAACCCTAAACCCTAAACCCTAAACCCAAACCCTAAACCCGAAACCCTAAACCCTATACACTTGATACGACATGGGAATGCCCTCGTCCGAACTCGAAGAAGTCGACATGCATGTCCAAAAAGGGATACTTCCCCGAATCAGAATACGACTAATTAATATAGAAACCCTACTTTCTACTTTACAGGTACTTAGGACCCAAAATAAGAATTCCTAAAAATCATATGGGTGGTTGTCAAAAGTATGGTCCCATTTTGGGTCCTTATTATAATACGGCACCTATTATTTAGGGTACCCCAAAAGGGACCATAATTTTGACAACCACCCATCTAGAAACCCTACACTCTGCCATACAGGTCCTTTGGACCCTTTGGGCGTGTCTTGTTTCCGCGGTCGGTTGGTTTTCCAGGCCTTTCTTCGCCCACGCTGAAGATTCAACTCCTTGCTTCTTCGTAGGGAAACGGGGAAAGGATCCCTACTGTAGTCCTTCAAGGTGCCATATAATATAGGGGCCTAAATAATTACCTATACTATTGTGGGGGCTCCTTATTAGAGTTATAGTATAAAATGCCCCAATACCCTATTCGAATTATTCAGGCCCCTACATTACTTGTCCCTATATCCCACTCCCCCAAAGACCCTCCTAGCCTGGAGATTCCCCAAGGCAAGTGCGGCAGAAACAGTGCCTTCCCCGTCAGGGTCGATGACAATGAAAGGTGCGGCAGGGTTCAGGAGGTCGGTTCAGGGTTTAGGGTCTAGGGTGTAGGGTTCAGGAGGTCGTTGTTTGGATTACTGCTCGGAGCGCGCATGGGCCGAGAATGGGCAGAGATTCTTGAGCTACTCTTCAGAACAGCGCGGGGCATGGGTAGTCACATTGCCGGGACGTATCCAACTGTTCTCCCGAAACCCTAAACCCTAAATTCTCTCTCTATCATTGTCATCAACTGTTCTCCCTAAACCCTAAACCCTACACCCTGAACCCTAAATCCTCTCTCTATCATTGTCATTAACTGTTCTCCCTAAACCCTAAACCCTAAGCCCTAACTTCTCTCTCTATCATTGTCATCATCATCAGAATCCTGTTGCCAAGGCCCCAGGTCGCAAATCCTGGATGTAGACTGATTGGTGCTTCCTTGGTTCACAGCTTGGCCACATGCTGGTATTGACAGTGACACTCCGAAATGGTCCTGCGCTGCAAAACAGACGAAGACAAGTCGGTTTAGGGTTTAGGGTTTAGGGTTAAACTGCAGTTCTTGGGCTGTGCTGGCTAAACCTGTAGTCCCGAAGTCCCGAAGCATGCGCCACAAACTGCTTTCAAGCTCCAATTCCTTTTGATGAACCACTAGGACACAGGCTTCTAGCGAGCTTGAATTCAACAGGGTTGGTGGTTCGGGGGCAGGCTTGCACATCTACTATAGGGGCCGCAATAATTGCCTATACTATTTTGGGGGGGGGCTCCTTTTTCTAACTATAGTATACTATGCACCAGAAGCCCCATTCTAACTATTAAGGCGCCTATATCTGCTGCATAAGACTCATGTGTCATAGCAGCTCTGCAGATGCAGAGGAGGGTCGGTTGTTAAAGAGATCCCAAGCCCTTGAGCAGACTGAAGCAGATGTGGCCCAAAAGGCCGACTTTTTCAAGGAAGTATGTGTGTATATATATATATACACATACGGAAGCCATAATATGGAACCCCAGCAAGGTAGGGTTTCGGCTAAGGTATAGCAGAGACCCGACACCTCCACAAAGTGAAGAGCCATCCCTGAATCTCGCTGCCAGCCACGCCGTCTGGCAAGTCGAATGGCGGGTCCGCGTCACCAAAGCCCTTGGCTCAACAGTTGTGTTTAGTCTTCCCTAACCTTCCAGATACCTACTATACAGGGCCCTTGGGGCTCTAGTGCCGTATATAGTAAGCATCTGCGGGGGTAGGGGTTGTTCAGTTCAGGGTTTTGTAGCCTTTTTTAGGGGAGTTGTTAGTTTTTTACGGTTTGGGGCTTCGGGTTCAGCGTCGGGTGGATCTTTAGGTTTGAGGGTTTCAGGGTTTAGGGTTTAGGGTTTAGGGTTGGTCTCCTGCTGCCAAGGAGGCTGCGATGTGTTCCAACACCCTTGACAACAACCACAGATCGCCAGACCAAAACAGGACTAGACACTTTACCATTTCCCCTTGAGATTCAAGAGGTATCTAGGACCCTAAACGCTAAACCCCTCTAAGGGAGCCTGTCAAGGAACCCCAAAGGTACCCCCTAAAGGAACACCTATGCAGAAACGCTTGTAAGCGCCCCCAAAACCAAAAAAAACCCTTGTCCGTGTTTCTACGGATCCGGAAGTTGGGGCTGGCTTGCAGTTGTAGCCATCGCGCCCTCGGAATTTTTGGCAACACTTCCTCAGCGTGCACATTTTGCCGTTGTGAACCCGCAAACCGCCATCCCCCAGCCAGAGAGCTTGCAAGGCCTCACAGTCAATCCAACAGCCATACATTACACACCAGAACCTGTAGTTGCAAAAGACAGCTACCTCGGGAAACAGGCTGCCAGAAACATAGGTAGTTTTTCAATTTGGGGTCCCCTTGAGGCTCCTTTGTATGGGTGCCGGACTATATTGGGGACCTAATAAGGGAACCTAATTTAGAGAATTACCCACATAGATGGCTATCAATATCCCAGGCCTAAGAACTGCTGACAAGTAGTCCGCCCAGCCCTATGTGCCGCAACTTTGGGTCTTTGTTTAAGTCGCTGTTTATGTAGAAACGTCCCATGATCTCGGTGTCTCTTTTGAGTAAATTCCTTTGAAGTAAAATCATCAACTGCCATGCCCCCTTTAGGCCAAGAGTAGGGCTTCCCCACAGAAACACCATGCAGCCTCCCTTGCTCAGGGGGGAAGCGACCAGGAAGCACTCAGAGGGAGAAGATGGTGTTTTCTTCCAGCAGATGTTAGGGGATGTCCTTGTCTTCGTCGTCCATGACGGCATGAGGGAACTGCAACACAAGACTCGAAAGTCGTCAGTCTACGGAGGTTAAACAGCCGAACTGCCAGCATGTCAGAATAATGATTGTGTACATGTTGCTTTCGGCATAAGACCAGTATAGCGTTCATGGCTGTGTGCCAATGGTCCTGCTAGCTTGAGACTTGTGATTCTCATGGAAGTCGTGTCTTCTACAGGTCAGTATCTCTGTTATAATTATAGTATAAGGTACACCAAAACCTTTTTCTAATTGTTAAGGCCCCTATATTCCTTAGGCCCATGATGTGTTCGAGCTCTTTGATTCCACCATGTCCAATCCCAGCACTCCTTCCTCCCTAAACCCTAAACTCTAAACCCAAATGACAACGCTCCCAACCACCGCCCAAAAGCCGACGTCACT